GCGCTGGGAATGGTCTATCTTATGCTTGATGCCCATAAATAGGGCGAAGTGCTCTGTTCTTCGAATCGGAGCTGCTACTCCTCCCACCCGATGTTGTCGGTGGTGATGAACTCCCTGTTGACATTCAACACGCTGATTTAGGAGTCGTACACGCATCAGCATCATCATCAGCAGCAGCAGCAGTACATCAGCCATTTGTACTGACGCTCCGCTGCCATACAACCATGAGGACCTATGAAATAAAGAATAAGAAGAGGGAGAGAAAGGGGACTTACCTGAAAACCTTAATGCCATAGGCAAACATTCAGGGTCAAGGCGCCTACACCTTATATATATATATATATATATATATATATATATATATTGCTAGCGCTAACATTTGTTCGTGTTTTCTACCTTTCCATTTGACAGATAGATCATATTGCGTTTTATCTCGTTTGACACCCTGAAGTATTGCGGGTTGCAATCTGATGTCAATGTTGCCAGGCCAAATGCCTCTGTACTGCGCACTAAGCTTCAGACAAGTCATCAATTTTGATTCCCGAACAGCGTCAACACGGTGTTACATCCGAATCGAAATTTTGGACACGGGTAACACCCTGGGCACTGATGAAATGGTCAAGATATGCTAGCGCAGAAAATGGATGATCAAGGGGACTATAAATAGTCATACACGACTGACTGCCTGATGGTTCCACATACATGTGAATTCTCGCCTACCTTTCGGACAACAGACAATCGGACCGGCTCTGGCGTACCCTCTGACACGAATAGCTTACATTTAACATAAAGGACGGCATTTACAACGCACACCAACGATTAGTCATCACTGTTCCACTGTGTTCTTACTCCTTTTTAGGTTACGTTGTAGCGTTATCAGTGTTAGTAGCCTCACACTGCTCATCTTAATAATAAATTCTCCATGGTGGCGTCTGTTCTGCTTGCACCACAATTGTACTAACACATCATGCATCCCTACTTGTCTTCGCACATGTTATTGCATTTCCACACATTTTATATCATTTTATGTCATCTCTTTCTTTGTAGCCCTTGAGACCAGTTCCAGGATTTCTTGCAAACTCTACACACATTTCACGTACTGCTACTAAGTATGCGAAGTCCAATGCAAAATAATAGCACCCTGGGCCGACGTAGTTCGTCGAGCAGTTTTGGTGTAGGTGTCATCTCTCCTCTCACACACTGTAAGGTGCCTAAGCGACATTTAACGACCACTGATCACTTGCTTGTTCTTGGATTCCATTGCACTCCACATTCCTCCGTCCATGTCCCCACCTCACCTAAGCCAATTTTTCCACCCTAACCCCCGAACGAGCCATATCCACCCATATCTCCGCCATCGACATCAAGAGCCACACGTGGCCACAGGCCAGCACGCCAAACACTCAAGGTTGGATGCTGGAATGTGCGCACACTGCACGATTGGGACACTAGTCATCGACCTACGCGACGAACCGCATTAGTCGCCATGAAATTTGCACGGTATGACATTGATATCGCAGCGCTGAGTGAGACCCGACTATCTGATCAAGGGAAACTGCGAGAGGATGGTGCTGGGTGCACTTTCTACTGGATCGGCAATCGCGACACAGCACCACGTGAACAAGGTGTCGGATTTGCAATTACTGACCGCCTGAATGGTTGCTTGGCGAGGTAGCCCATTGCTGTCAGCCCACGGTTGGTGTCGCTTCGTGTATTCCTTAGATGTGGTAACTTCGCAGCATTTATTAGCACGTATGGTCCCACCATGAGTTATCCGGATGACATGGAAGAGCATTTCTACTCACAAGTGGCCTCTGTTATAAGGTCTGTGCCAAGGAATGATCGACTATTCCTGCTAGGTGACTTCAATGCACATGTAGGACATAATGCCACAACGTGGGTTGCGGTGATTGGGCCGCACGGGATTGGGATAATCAATGGAAACGGAGAGCGTTTGCTTTCATTGTGTACCCCACATGGCTTGACGATCACGAACACTCAGTACGCTCTGTGTGCTAGTGACTGCTACATGGACCCACCCCCGGAGTGGTCATGCTCACTTGCTGGACTGCGTCATCTTACATCAACGGGACATGCGTGAAGTGCGCGTAAAGCGTGGAGCTGAATGTCGGACTGATCATAAGCTGGTGCGCACAAAGTTCTACATAAATGTCTACAAATCGTCATACTTTCCATCAAGTACCAATCGGAAGAAAGACAACATCCGCGCCTTTTCTAGTGATCATAAAAGAGACAAGTACTGGAGGATGCCATAACAATCCGCCTTGGCGAAGATGACTTTTCGGCTTCTGTTCGCGTCCTATGGGACCAATTGAAGAAACAGGTGACCATTGCTACGGTGGAGACGATTGGGTGTACAATCTGTAAGCAATCCGACTGGTTCGACGAAAACAGTATGACGATTGGGCCATTAGTACGTGCGAAAAACGAAGCGTTCATCGCATCCGAGGTGAACCCTAACAACGCAATGAAGAGAGATAATTTTCGCCACATTCGTAGACAGCTAGCTGGAGATCTGCGTCAGCTGCAAAATGCGTGGTTGACAATGAAAGATAAATAGTTGGAGTCCTACGCTGAACACCGTCAACAAAAAGATTTCTATGATTCATTGAAGGCAGTGTACGGGCCCACTGTGCAGCAAATGAAGACCCTGAAAAGCTTAGGGACTGGCGCCGTATACATACAATCTGGTGACATCTTGCAGATGTGGCACAGACACTTTGACACCCTCCTGAACAATCGACCTGAGGCTGACTGGGACACACTGCATGGGCTGCAACACCACAGCATACTATCCGAACTGGAGGACACACCGAGTATGTACGAAACACAGAGCGCTTGGTCAGCTACGGAATGGAAAATGCGCTGATGCAGATGGTATACCTCCGGAAACGCTGAAGAACGGAGGACCAGTTATGCGGGCACTCCATCGTTTGGTGGAAGCCGTCTGGAGGGAAAAGCAAGTGCTTACAGCGTTGAAGGGTGCTCTTGTGCTTCCACTGTACAAGGAAAGGGTAGTATGCGATACACCAACAATTATTGTGGCATCAACTTACTTAGCTGCTTCGGCAAGATTTTTGCCCGCATCCAACTGAATCGCCTTGTGACACAGCTGAAGAGCAATGGGGATTCCTCTCTGGCCGAAGCACCATCGACATGGTATTCGCAGCACGTCAACTACAGAAAAGAATGTCGTGAACGCAATCAACCGTTGCATTGGATCTTCATCGATTTCACCAAAGCGTTCGATACAGTGAACCGCAAGGCGTTGCGGCTGATTCTGTCAAAGTTTGGATGCCGTGCAAAGTTTATTCGTCTGATTGCATGTCGGCATACTTGCATGCGAGCAAGAGTACAGGTGAGTTGACAGACTTCAGTTGACTGCCATTATCTCTGATGGGAAGCAAGGATGCGTCTTAGCCCCCACACTCTTCAATATCTATCTGACGACCGTGATATCGTGCACATTCAACACGTGCGAATACGTTGTGCATCTGGAGCACCGCATTGATGAGGGTTTGCTTAATATCCGCCGTTTTGGAGCAAGAAGCTTAGTGCGTGAGACAACCACTCGTATTCTGCTATTTGCTGACGGCTGTGCATTGTTTGCACGTACCGGTATTTTCTTTGTGTCATCCTTATTCCATCGCTAATTTAAGTATCGCTTGGGTGCACTTGCTATCTAGAAAATGATTAACTACTGACTTGGTACAATGCAGTAGCATTATTGCACCTGTCTAAGGGGCACCTACCAGAGGTTGTATTAGACATGGCCGATCTTCTGGGTAGACAAAGAAACAGTTAATGCCAACGTCAATGTCAGCAAGGAATCGGCGCATAGCAACAATTGTTTGTTTTAGGAGCACCTAATGACTGCACCCGAGACGTACGATGCCGATCGTTACCAAATAGCTTATGGCCACAACTACATGTACAAACGGATGGGTACTTGGATGACAGCCATGCTATGTCTTGAACATTTGCAAAACAGTGCGCACACTGTTTAGAAAGCCGCATGTTTGACAGTGAGCAGCACGACTTAATTGATGTAGTATGGCGGTAATTGTCTCTCCAATGAGACCGTGAGTGGCAGAAATGTCGTATTGACACCTGTCAGTGCTTAAGGTTATGCAACAATCATACCCAGGGCAGCAGATGATCGGATCGATCGGCGATACGGAGTGGCTGAAGTGAACACCCAATCGCATTCGCACGCTGTGCGATCTCCCACAGCTACGCAAAACAGATAGTGCATATAGAAGGCGACACTTACGCACACACTATTTTACTGTACCACTTGTTTAATAACCATTCTACCTGGTAACCGTACTGATGGCAATTGCGTCCATATTCCTATATCGGTTTTGTTCAGGTATAGATGTCCAAGATTTAAGGCTGTCACGTCTAAGTGGTACAGAAAACATTAACAATTCGTCTTGGATACTTATTCTCATGCCTGTGTAATTGGCTGTTGGCCTGACCTACAAACGATACCCATACACGTTAGTACTATTGTTCATGAGATCTAATGTATCTCTATCCAGTTTGTAGCGGTTCATTACTAAGTCTGGACGAGCGCATATGCATATGTTGCATTCGAACTGCCATTGGATACGGATGACGCCAATGCATGTAAATATGTGTACCGAAATGAATTCGATGAGGAGATTCACCGCTTTTGTACGGCCAACTTAGTGCAGGAATGCGGCACTGAGACAAACCGACAAGGACATAAACAAGCTGCGTTTATGACAAACTAATTTTGATTTCAGGTGTTGCGAATCCAAGGCAAAGATGATCGATGCGAATTTCATGGACTGATCAAAAGGGTGGTTACCCAGGTGCAGAAGAAGGTAATATTGCGCGCGGAATAGAAGCACGATGCGTACGCTGCCATTCGATTTACTAATCCCGGCCAATAAGGCGGCGTATGTGGTACGTTTGCCTGCGTAATGAATATTCTTGCACTTAAGAAGTAGATGTTGTTCGAGCTCCCCGGTGTGGCTGCGCCTGAGGTGAATGTTGACAAGGTACCTACCTGTCTGATGCCCTCCACCTCGATTGCTAGCTCCAGGAGACAGTCGTTGCTGGAGGGGACTGACCTTATTTGAATGTATCTGAAAGGAAATGTCCCGGCTAATTGGAGCGAATCGATTATAGTGGCAATATACAAGAAGGGCAGTCGCACATACCGTTCTAACCACAGCGGTATTAGCCTAACGCTAGTTGTGACAGAATTATTGGCCTCGATTATTGTTCGTTGCCTCACTGCGGAACGGGAATCTCGGATTAGGGAAGAGCAGGCTGGTTTCCGCCCAGGACGTGGCTGTATAGACCATATATTCACTTTACGGCAGGTGCTAGAGCAGTGCCACGCATACCGACAATAGCTGTGTTCATCGATTTCAAGTGTGCGTTCGATTCAGTCGATCGATCGATTCTGTTCGAAATACTTGCGCAGAAAGATGTTCCCACGAAATATGTGAACATCCTTCGTGGTCTATACTCGAACACTACAGGCCGCGTCAGGGTCTACGGTGTCCTATCGGATAGCCTTCCGACCACAAGTGGCGTTCGTCCGGGTTGTCCGATTTCCCCATTTTTGCTCAATTTCGTCGTGGATTCTATCATGGAGTGTTCCCTTGCGGAACGTACCATGTAGGCGTTGAAGTGCTGCCTGGTGAAAGTTTAGTTGATCTAAATTATGCGGACGATATCGTTTTGCTTTTCGACAATGTTGAGGCGGCCCAATCAACCCTGAATAGCCTGTCCAGAGTGGTCCCATTATTTGGTATGCACTTTGAACCTTCCTAATGCAGTGTTGCTGCAGGACCACCAGCCACTTGATGACCCCTTGACGCTTGCTAACGAGGAACTCGAGAATTGAAAAGCGAGCTAACAGTTTTTTCATCTGAGACTTGGTAGTTCGATTTGAGGTCACAGGTGGAATCTGTTTAAACCGTGGAGATTCAAAGTCCGTTTAGCCGTTGCTCTGTCTACTCGAGTAGTTAATGAGTACGACCGACTGCCTGACCCGCTTGTTAATATGCAGTCAGAATCGAGCTTCAAACGTTTTTAGTCCCCTACCTATTGAGTACCCCTGAATCCGGCAGGGTTGTTACTACCTCATCTTGAGCGATACCACAATGGCCATTTCTGCAATCATTGGGAGACCAGGAATAGAAGGAGCTGACACGGGACCTCCGCTCTGCTGTCTATCACTCATTGAAGTCAATACTGCTCTGGGAACGTGTACAAAAATCGTTTGACTAGGGTGTGATTCAGGTGTTTCGTTTTAGATCCATCATTAACTCTGAGCACCGTAGCAACTGCTGTGGGAACACTAACGGGTTTCTCCTGCCCTTCCAGTCCCACCTGAACTTGGATTAGAATTATTCAAGCTGTTTTCCACGCCATTTCATCTACAAACCCGATTGGTGTGGCACGCGAAATTTTTATGTTACCGCGTCTTGGCCATGAACTTTCTCGTCGATCCGATTTAAAACGTTTTCGGTAAATCAGAGTCAATCCAAAGTGCCGGGAGCTGTTTTTCACTTACCCACACAAAATACAGAACGATCCTTAGGCGAATAGCTCTATCGTTCGTGGTACCTGACTTCAACTGTTTCATTCGCAGCCATTCGGTATATCAGCCTAACGTTGTTAGTTCCCTTACATCCGTTTGCGAATCACCCCATAAAGCGTGGTCGGTAGATTTTTGAGTCTTTTTCAGTGATTCGCCTTTTAGAATCTGGTAGCTACAGACGCCTATCATTCAAATGTACTCTCTCTGAAGACCATAAAGTACACCGATGACCGAAAGTATCATACGCCTACCTAGTAATCTGTTTGTTTTTTATTTTTCCTCCCGTTTTTTCGCCTTTTCCCGTTGTTTTGTTTCTACTTCACGTGACCGACACAGTGCGGATAGCTAGTGTAGTCCACATTGGCATTGATCGCTTTACTGCGGTGGGATGGGCGCGTGCCGATTTAACACTCAAGTGACCAATTGATTCGCACAGGTCTTTCCTGGTTCAACGACGCTTTTAAAATGGAACATCCACTGAATTCTTCTATTGTTTATGTCCCACTTGAACTTGAGGCCACCGGCTCGAATCCGCGTAGATGTGGGCGGCCTCACGATGTACCCAGTTTAGTGCGACAGGTATTGGTCACATGACAACGCAACGTTGGTACGATGTGCCGGCATACTGTTGAATCATTGTCTAAATAACGCACTGTTCGTAAATCTATCATCTCTTATTCAGGCTATTGGACAATCAGAGCCAAGATCACCAACTCACCTTTCTCGCCGGCAACTCATGGTGCTCAGATAAGATGAAGTGAATTCACCTACTGTTTCAAGCATTCCCAGCTATGTCATACTTTAATCGGAAAGAAGTAACTGCACAGCAATTCATAAATAGTAGGGCCGAGGTTTGGTGGTTTTATTCGCCCGCCACTGTCGATAAGTACGGAATGCTCGCAAACCCTTTCTTCTGACTACTCAACTTCAACTCGGCTTTAGCGAGCCAAAACCCAGTTTTATGTCTATCGTGGACGAAGCAATGTAAGTTCGTCAATCTTGTTGTTGATTAGATCTGTTGGTGATGATCAAGTTAATGCTTGTGTTCTCTGGGAACAGTGTGCGGAATGGATTACGCTCTAGTCCCAGTGATCAAATAGTGGCTCAAATGTGCGAATTCGACAGATTCTTCTGACTGTTATTTCTCATAACCAACGGTCAAGTACTAGCGCTCCTGTGAGAGCAGAATCTTAGCAAAACTACCGGTGTTTACAGCATTTCTTTGGCTCACAGGACGGTTAGTTCGCCAGTATTTCTTGTCTAGCTATTCTACAAGCTGGTAAGAGATGCTCTCTTATAAGACCCTTGTGAGCATTTTGCTTTTGTCATGTGCTAGGCTGATGCTGATACTCATGGCCAAACATTGGACCTATACTTCTTTGACTTTTGCAGAGTATTAGACAACTTTGTCTGGCGACCACCGGCGTAGCGGTTCAGGCCTGTGGGAGTCGGTTTGCTGACATGCGCAACACGTGTCCTTGGTGCGGGAAATAACGCTGAGGTTCACTCGCTTTAATGCACCAGGTACGAGATTCTGAACACGCTCATTGTTCACGTGATACTCGCACCAGCATGAGCTAAGCTACGAAGACAGCGATGATCAAACGTAACTAGCCCCTATATCTGTCGAGTTGATGGACCAGGTTTCGCAACCCTACAGGTTCTCCCTATAAGGCCACACATTTCCGTTTAACAGAGTTCGACGTCGTGCGTGTTCCTCACCACTGAGTAAAGCCAGTGCCTCTTGCTTCACTCCGGTGGAGATTTGTATTCCAGCAGCATCTTTCTGGATTCGTGCGGAGGCTTGGGCCACTGTTTGTTAACCAACCCAACGAAAGGTGATTGAACTTAGCATTCAGTCACAGGCTTCTAATGGTCTCGATTCACTGAACTCGCGCCACTTCGAAAAACCCGGACTAGTGTCCCCTATGAGAACTCCCTACTTCGGCTTGGGCAGCCGCGTAGTATCAGGCTCTGACAAAAAACCATGGTATGTTCTACACTATGCTCAACTGCCGCCTTTGCTTCGTGCATCTATGCGGCGTTACTCGCTACTTGTTCATTTGTTAACAATCCTCGTTATCTGTTATCTGATTCCCGTGTACATGGGTCTTCCTGTGATTTCGGTTGCACCTCGTGCCATGGGATTCAACCTTTACCCCACCTTCGAATTCGTATCGTCTGGTGTGCTTCAAGGTACGAACGCTCATGCATCTTATGTAGCAAGCCAGTTTAGCGCGCACCCTAGAGGCTCTCGGTCGCGATGCCTGCTGCCGTTCTGAGACCCGATTGCTGGACCATAGTAAGGTGCGTACGCTGACACCCCTCACTAATCACGGAGCCACATATCACTTGTGTTTCTCTGTGGACCCAGAAACAGCCTCAGCGGGTTTAGGTGGGGTAGGTATAGCATTGTGTGGCAAGGATGAGACATCACTGCTGGACTGGTGTGTGGTGGACTGTGTGCAGTTCAGCTTCGAGGTTCGTGTAGAATCAACAGGCTTTACAAGGAGACGCAACTTGTTAGTGCCCTCAACATGCACTAACTGACGGGACTATTGGCTCGGTCACTGACGACTTTTATCAAAAGCCTCATCAGCTCTTGAGCAAAGCTAACAAATCTGATGTCTTTGTCATTACTGGGGATTTAAATGCACGGGTTGGCCGTCTGTTACCATACGAGGATTATCTTTGCGATCACCACGCGCTCGATGAAGATCGCTCAGAGGTACTTCTTACATTGTTCGAAGACAGTTATCTGTTTCTCCCGAGCACTAACTTCAAGCATGCGAATAAACGTTCAGCGAGTTGACACACTGCTCGCCAACACAAGCGTAATCCAATTGATCACGTTGCATTCGGCCTCAGATGACTTGGCAGCTTAGGGGACTGCAGATTATTCTAGGTCAGTCTTCTTTGACGAAGGCTGTCGGTCCTGATGGACTTCACCCGCTAGTTGTCAAGTCGTAGTCGGCAATCATATCGTTCTTCGTGACTGATCTTTTAAACAGATCACTGCTCGAAGGTGCATTGTCGAGCGATCGAAAATACTCGGTAGTGAAGTCGATTCTGTAAGGCGGTGACCTAAGTAAGGTGTACAATTACCGGGCGATTTGTTTGACTTCCGTCCCGGCCAAATTACTCAAGAAGATAGTGAAAAAGGATCCTGTAGCTGCTTGAGTCAAAGAAACCTGATTAACACACAGCATGGGTTCATGAGGTGCCGTTCCTATATCACCAATCTGCCTTTGATGCGGCATGAATGGTTACAGACATTGAACCGGGGGAAGTCAGTGAATGTGCTATACACTGTTTTCAGTAGAGCGTTCTACAGAGTGACGCATGAGATCCTCCTCAACGATCTGAGGATGTGCGGTTTTGGTGGCTCACTGCACCACTGAATCAGTGACTTCCTCATTGGGCGAAAATGGAGGATACGGATTG